TGGTAATAGAAATGAACTTGCTTTTAACGGTGTTAGTCTCTTAGCCGATAGTATTCTTCAAATCATCTACCGATGACGTTATGCAATCTTCGAGCGCCCTCTAGCGACAGGTTGAAAATTAGCAAAAATGTATTTTGAATAGATGTCTGTGGCGAAGTTTGTCGGAATCGCCTAAATATTGGTGTATATAATGACCTTGACCACCTTAAGACGTGTGCGAAGTTTTAGGCGAATGACGTCATCAGACCGGAAGTTATAATGAAAAGATCCTTTTTCATTTGAAAATTCCTGAAAAATCAACCATGGCAGTTTTTTATATTTGTTTTTACTTTAATTGTTGATTGAAGGGTAGGTCTAAAACATTTCAAAGTTTCGAGGCGATAAGCGAACTCGAACATACCCTGCGCACGCTTAAAACTTCACGTTGACAATACCTCTGCTTCAAAACATGCACAGGACAGGACGTCCACAATGTACATGTACATGTACATGTACATGCACGTACGTTGTACATAGGCACATACATCGTACGTCAGCCAGCCTGCAGCGCACGTGTTGCTGAGGTCAAATCCTGTCCACAGTGACCGTTTTAGCCGATTTTCGGCTAACTTTGACATATTTTATGTTCATGCATGCAGTGACGTATTACAGCACTTTTGGCATTAATCTTTGTCAGATATCATTGAAAGTTGGCATAAGCATAGTCCCTATAGCCAAGATGCGTCCCGAAGAGTGACGTCATGGTGACGTCATCAAGTGATTTATTATGGGTTTATGAATAATTAATTTTTCTCATAGACTTTGTACACAGCTTTCTCCACAAGTCTTTCCCTATACAACACTGATATATCTTACTGAGTAGTTCTGAACTTCGGCTGAGAATTACTATGAGAAAGAAAAAGAAATCGTTTTTTTTTACGCCTGTCATTTGATTGAAAATATTCCCAAGAGTTAGAATGGCAAGTAATATTTTATAAAAATGTTTCAGTTTAAAGGAAAATCACGCATTTAAAGGTGCAGTTTTTCTGCTGAGGGATTTTTAACCTATTGACTTTTCCCCTTTTTTAAGCCATTATTTTCATAACTTGGCGATCTGGAATCGTCATGAAAGTTACAGCCAAGTAAGACCCTCATACAAAAATTATGCCAAGACTATGACATCATGATGACGTCATCATCAAGTGATTTATTATGGATTCATGAATAATTAATTTTTTTCATAGACTTTGTACACAGCTTTTTCCACAAGTCTTTTCCTATACAACACTGATATATCTTACTGAGTAGTTCTGAACTAGTTCTGAGAAGGAAAAAGAAATCGTATTTTTTTACGTTTGCTATTTGATTGAAAACATTCCCAAGAGTCAGAATATCAAGTAATACTTTATAAAAATGTTTCAGTTTAAAGGCAAATCACGTATTAAAAGGTGCAGTTTTTCTGCTAAGGGATTTTTAACCCATTGACTTTGTGCACGTTTTCAAGCCACCATTTTTATAACTTGGCGATCTGGAATCGTCATCAAAGTTACAGCCAAGGAAGACCCTCATACAAAAATAATGCCAAGACTATGACGTCACGATGACGTCATCACCTAATTTTTTTATTGATTTCTGAAAATTTCCGCACATAATGTGAAGTCTTATATCTACAGTCCGATTGGGTTGAAACTTGGTATGTGGCTATACCAGGAAGTGTTATAGATAAGAAATGAGGTGACGTCATGATGACGTCATCCTGAGATTTTATATGAATATTAATTTTTTTGTACCTTTTAGCCATATCTCCCGAACGCAACATGCAAAATGCAAAATTCTTTTTTGCATTTGGTCTGTTATGTAATAGCTATTCGCACAAAACTTGAAAATGTGTGACGTCATCATGACGTCATCAAAAAGCGATTTTTCAAAACTCATATTAGGAAAGGTCCAATTGTCATGAAACTTGGTGGGTAGGTAGTTAATCATACTAGTATGCAAAGTTCGAAATGACGTCATCAAAAATTTAAAAATAATTGTGGATTTTCAAAGTGCGTTTTCGACTCTTCGACTCAGTAAATTAATTTAGATCACTCTTTGTCCAAGCAAAGACCTTGTACACACGCACATACATCGTATTGCCGAGGTCAAATCCTGTCCACAGTGACCGTTTTAGCCGATTTTTCGGCTAACTTTGACAGATTTTATGTTCATGCATATTCAGGGCATATTATTGATTAAAAAAAATCATAATGCGGAAAAGCCCTATGTTCTGTTGCACACAGACATAGACCTCTAGTTTTTTTTTCTTCTCCTTTTTCAGACTTTTTCTCCTTAGGTTTAACACACGTTTCTTCTGACAGTCCACTTTGGCACTTTTTTAAATCCGATTGATTTCAGACTTGGTACATACTTAGACCACCACCCACAGATGGTCCTAAAAGAAATTCGTGATCGTGACGTCATCAAGTGTCGGGTTACGTCACATTAAAGATGCATTTTTTCCCCATATGTATTGTACACGTTTTAATACACTCCAGTTTGGCATCTTCGTAAATCCGATCGACTTTAAACTTAATTCATACCTAGACCACCACCCACAGATGGTCCTAGAAGAAATTCGTAACCGTGACGTTATCAGGTGTCGGGTTACGTCACATTAAAGATGCATTTTTCCCCATATGTTTTGTACACGTTTTAAAACACTCCACTTTGGCCTCTTCGTAAATCCGATCAACCTCAGACTTGATAGATACTTAGACCATCACCCACAGATGGTCCTAGAAGAAATTCGTGATCGTGACGTCATTAGGTGTTAGGTTACGTCACATTAAAGATGCATTTTCCCCATAGGGTTTGTACACGTTTTAAAACACTCCACTTTGGCACTTTCGTAAATTCGATGTACTTTAGACTTGGCACAAACACATTTCTAGTCTTTTATTCTTTTTTTCCTTCTTTTTCAGCCATTCCCCATAGCATTTGTACACGTTTTTACAGTGGAAGGCACTTTGGGCGCTCAACTCAATCTGATTGACTTTATACTCGGCACACACTTAGACCAGCATCTGAAATTGTGCCCCGAACATTGACGTCATCATGACATCATCACGAGTCACATGACGCCACATAATATGCGATTTTTCTATTGTGACCATTTTCTAGCAGAATTCGGCTAGATCTGACAGATTGGGTTATATCTCCAGAACTACAGGTCCGATTGGGTTAAAAGTTGGTATGTACTGAGACCGGGATGTCTTACAGATGAAAATTAACTTGACGTCATGATGACCTCATCACGTGACATATGACGTCATATAAAATAAACATATTTCGAAGGCCTATATCTCCTGAACTACAGGTCCGATTGGGTTGAAAATTGGTATGTACCTAGACCGGGATGTGTTATAGATGAAAATTGAAGTGACATCACGATTACGTCATCATGAGTTACGTGACGTCACGTTAAAGATGATTAGATCTTTGAAAATCCATATAAATTCAACCGTGAGAGACCTGAACTTGACGTTTGCAGGAATCGATAGAATAATCAAGGGTTTTAATTTTCATATATTATAAGCAAAATCACTTGACCCTCCCTTCCGGTCGAAACCGGAAGTGCCTTGAAATTTTTAATTGGTGAAAGATGTGAACTTGCCTGCAACGATGTATGCTATGGCTTTTAAAGTTGTTATTTACAAACAAAATAAAGTTATACGTGAAAATTGTTGTGACGTCATCATGACGTCATTACGTCACATGTGACGTCATAATTCAAAACCCTATGGGAATGTAATCACATATTGTATGCCACCAGTTATTATCAACAGAACTACACATTCTTCCTGGATGGAACTTGTACTTCAAACTTTACATGTCACATGTCACAAAAAATACAGAAACAGCCCTATGTTTGTCCACAAACATAAGTCTAGTTTCAGTATTGTTATTTCTCTACCCAACATATGATTTATAAGTATTTCCCGTTGTGGTGAACTCAAACGTCTCATATACACGTACAAACTGAACATTGTTTGCCTTACATTCTTCACGTTTTGTTACACCCATAATGTTTGTGTTTAAAATCCTGTGGAATGTCCCAGTTAATGTTTTTCTCGAGATCCATACCCCACAAGCTTAGCTTATTTTTGTGGATTCCGCATTTCTACAAACAAATCCGGTGTCATATAAAAGTCCGACTCCTATGAAAATCGGACTCCTTTTTCCAATTATTGGTTAATCCCTCGCACATGACAGGTCACTGTCCTATAAATATGCCTATTTATAGGCTATTACCATGCTTACGCATGCGCAATACTACAAACGAGTCCACAGTTCCTGGAGTCGAATATTCACGCTACACCGGCGGCAGCCATTTTCTGCGATGGCGCAAGACTCGCGTGAGTCGCCCTCAGGTAGTACGCACGCACTGCGGGCTCCTTCGACCAATACAGATACCAAATTGCGCGTGCGCCTCATCTTTAAGAACGTGTGCAGAATGCGCGTGAGTTCTACCGCAGTAAAAGGTTCCAAAATTATTCTTGTTGCCGAATTTCACTTTGCATTATATTAATTATCTGCTTATTACTTTGTATACTTGTACTTACTCTTATATGAAATAAAGTTTAGTTAAGTAAAGCTGGTCTCAAAGCGCACACAATTCTATTCAATCGGCTCCGTCAGAAGGGCGTTTTACTGGATGACTTTTCATGCATTATATTTTTCACAAATACATTTGTGTAAACACAACCGGGAATCCTTGTTCAAGTTTGTTTTTTTTTGACCAGGATGAAGCTTAAACAAGTCTAATTAATAGGTGACAATAGGTGAGAGAGTCATTGAAGTATTGAGTCAGGTACAAAGGTTGCGGACATTAGCCGGTGTAGCGTGCATATCCGAATAAATTATTGAGCAATTCGCCCTAAAACTCCGATTTCTTTGGGGTTTTTTTTTCAGGACACGCTGTATATTGAAAAATCATCAGAGCTTCGAAGTACTTTGAGTGCTGACCGAAAAAGTTCAAGATGGCCGACTACAGGTGTCCGATGATAACAATCGGTATCATTCACATCATTGATGGGGTACTGCTGCCTATTCTATGGGGCCTTGGCTGGATTTTCGACGGTTATGTATCTTTATATGCCGCACCAGTGTGGGGTGGTCTCGTTGTAAGTATTTCAAATTCGATTATTGAATCAAACGACCGACTGACTGAACGTTTAGTAGTAAAGTCTGTCACGGGCCAACATGGCCTATGACGCAAGTCTATGTCAACAATCTTCAAGCCATGAAAATAAAGATCAGATGTGAAAGCAAAAACAATATTCGACCTTTAGTGACCTGCTACAGGTCAATGACCTTTGTATACATATTTATCGTTTTTATGATTTGCTCTTTGTATAAACCCCAGTCTAAATGTTAGGTATTCATGCTTTGATTTTTGTTATCATTATGTAGGGCATTTCATATCTGACCTCTGGTGACCTCCAAGAGGTCAATGACCTTTGTATCCCCTATTTATATATATTAATAAGATGTATTATTCAAAACCCAACTTTTTCATTATCCAAGTCTAAAAGTTGGCTCTTTGTGACATGAAAAGAATTTTCAGATATGGGGACATCACATTTGACCTTTGGTACCCTTTCATAGGTCAATAAACTTTATATACCATATTTTTCGATATGCTTCATATTTATTCGCCAAAATGCCTTTTTTTTTTGGTGACCCAAGCCTCAATATTGCAAAAGAAAGGTATTGCACCTATTATTATACAGTCATGTAATGAATTCAAATCCCACAAAAACTTTTGGGGTGACATCTGACCTCCATTCCCCTTTTTTAATTGGCAGACGCAACATGTTGCGACTGGGATAGAAGACTGCTGGGCTTTCTTCACAATGTAATATTTACAAATGTCTAACAATAGTCACTCTTGTGTGCTTATTACACTCTGTGGTATCTAGATGGACTTGGGTCACCACATTTTTAACCTTTTTACCAAGCCCACTGGTCACTGTTACATTGTGATTCTTGTCCAATGTACCTCTTGTATTCTGTTGCGCCCCTGTCTGCCCTTCAAAAAGGAAAATGGAGGTCAGAGGTCATAACAAAATTGTCTTTGGGGTCTGAATTCATGACATGCTGTAGAATAATACTTAAAATACACTTGTTTTGAATTATTTAGGCTTGGGTCATGAAAAAGTGGCATTTGGAATATTAAATATGATTAAAAGCGGCAAATAGGGTATGCAAAATTTATTGACCTCTTAAAGGGTCACCAAGGGTCAAATATGAATGTCACACATCTGACAATTCTGGTCATGTCCCGGAGTGCCAACTTTTAGACTTGGGTCATAAAAAGTGGGGCTTTAAATAGTAAAAATCCAAAAATCAACAATTGGGAGTACAAAGTTCATTGACCTCTCGAAGGTCACCAGAGGTCAGATATGAAATGCCCTTCATATGATAATGCTTTTCATAGCATGAACACCTAACTTTTAGAGTTGGGTCTTGAAAAAGTTGTGGTTTAAAGTTTAAATCTTATAAAAAAAAAATACTGTATTTTTAGGTCTTTGACCTCTGAAAGGTCATCGGAGGTCAAGTATGATTGTTTTTTCACATCTGATAATTATCTCCATGGCCTGAAAATGTATGACAGGCTGGGGTTATAGGAAAGTGATGGTGCTTTCAAGCACAATAATTATAAATAGTGTATGTAAAGGTCATTGACCTCTCAAAGGTCACCAGAGGTCAAATATGAAATGTCTCCACATCTGAAAATTTTCTTGGCGTGAAGAACCAATATGTGAAGTTTCATGCTTTAGTCACAAAGTGCATTATTGTAGCATATATTTGACTTTAACAGCCCCACTAGTACATTTCCTCGGCATGGAACGACTGAGAATATTTTATATTTTCCCTGGATGGCATGCTAGTTCATTGCAGGTACTCCCCGGCTAGTGCCAATTCTCCTATTTATAGACAAATCCAGCGGCAGCCATTTGCTGCGATGGCACTAGGCTCGCACGAGTCGCGCTCAGGTAGAACAATTGCACTCTAGGGGCTCCTTCGACCAAAAGGAATACCAAAAGCGCGTGCACCTCGCCTTTAAGAACGCGTGCAGCATGCACATGATCGTGACACCACCGCAGTAAAAGCTTCTCAGATGGTTCGTTAGTAAAAACGTCATACACGTGCGCGCTGATTACTTGCGCCCAATGGATAAACGCTCAAGGTGCGATAACTTCCGGTTCCATTCGTGCTATGCCACACACCGTATGATGTAAACATGGTTGAATAATTGAGATGGCGTCACACTAACGAACCGGATAAGGAGAGAGGTAAGTTGGGGTGAAGAGGCCTTCCCAATGACGCAACATTGTTACCAACTGCTGATTCAAACCTCTTCTGATCACGAGTCACCAACCCTAACCATTAGCCCACACACACCACACTGACCAAACGAGCGCACTGAACACCTTTTCTTGGCTGATTTGACTTGACGGACATGGCTATCTTTCGTCATTACGGGCACTGAAATACACATTTTTTTTAATTCCCAAAATTCATTTCCCTCATCAGTTGTTGATTCCGGCCGGAATCACCGGAATAATTGCGAGCAGTGGCAACAGTCGTAGAGCGGTAAGTAATAGCATTCCCTCACGTAACACACACAGTCGTGTTCTACAAAACGCATGTGGACAATTTACATACAGGGCGATTCAAAAAAAGCGAAACCCAAATGTCGGGACAATTGTTTCAGTGAAGTTCTGAATGTAGCACTTTCTAAATCTAGCCTATGAAAGCCCAATTCATAAGCTTTCTTTTATATTACTAAAATGTACTATTAGGGAGACACCGAGGCGTCATTTTTTAGATGATAGGGAAACATCACTTAATAGGCAGACACATAACTGTCTCCCTAATGGCACAGCCCCCTTTAGAGGCACAATTTTGTTGACGCAATTGAGTTATATTATTTGTTGCTCGTTGTCTAAGAACGAGTAGCATAAACTACTCGCGAATACTCGAGTAATCGAGTTACTCGCCCAGCGACGTAACTACGACAGATCCAATAAAGTTACACTGACTTTATTGCAGTTTTTTTAAGAGAGATGTAGTTTGCAGGAAATCATTTCATTATGAACGATAACAATTAAGTGGTCATGATAAGCGCTACACCATCAACAAATTCTCCCCCATTTTGTAGACCTGCTCTGAAAGATTAACATACATGGAATTCAGTTTAGTTCGACAAGGCAAAATGATTGTTTTTTTATATTTAACCTTTGATAGGTGAATGTATGTATATGGTTCAACAGCTTTGGGTTCGCAGCTGCAGGCGCAATCATCACCTTTGCTGCCATCATCACCTCCACCAATATAGTAACCGACAGTGTAAGTTAAAATCTCTAGAACACTTTTTGGGGAGGATTTGAACTCGTAAACCGAGTAGACCATTTGTAATTCTGTGCGTTTGTTTCGTTTGAACCAACAAAAGTGCTCGAAATCGCAAGACAGTTGCTTAATAACTAGACAAGACAGTTGCTTAATAACTAGACTTGGCCCAAGTCTTGGTTGCGCTCGGTCTGTGCCTACAGTAAATCCAAGCATAGCGCATACGTACGTCTGTACAGTATTACGTGCGCTCTCATGCGTTGAATCCGGACCGTCATGTTGAAATCGTACATGTTCATGTTATTTTTAAATGATGCAGCAATCCAACTTTTGCACCACATGTATGCACATGTTCTGTACATGCACACACACATGTACGTATAACACGCGTATTGAACAATGAACATACAGTGTGCGCGCATTGTTATACGCACTGAAGTGGATCGCGTGCTGAAGTGCACCTTGTCGTGCTTCTGAAAAGATGTAAACTAAGTGATTTTTGTGACTTTTTGAACTTACTTTTTAAGAAACTAACTTAAGTATCTGGCTGCAGCTACGTAACCAATACGCGAAAATGCTATCCGAAAACGTTACATAAAAACATGCCATACCTGATGTAATTTCTTTTTTCTAATTTCATTTCGGACCATTTGGACAAAATTTTGAGCGTCGCATAATATGCCATTTGACCCAACGTAAATTCAAAATGGAGCCTGAGTAACTGACAAGAATTCAAATTTACAAAACAGACCCTTTTGACAGATTTTTCTACTCTATTACACTTTTCAACGAAAAAAAAAAGCATTTATGCATGGGAATAAAAGAGTAATGAATCAGTATTAACGGCAGATTGGAACCTTGCTGGGTCATGGCCGTGATGACTTGCAGGTCACAGGTCATGCAAAATCTATCCAAGCAGAGCTTGAATGTATCGACGTATCCCAGCGTCCTGTTTCCAGGGCGAGGGTACGAGTCATTCGACGTCCGAAGGACAATGGAGGGCAGTCTAGCGTGCTCTCAACAAGGGGTAATAATTTTTGGTCGTGTGTGTTTCAGGACGCTGGAGCTATAGGAGCAGCAATTGCCACCGTTCTACTCGGTGTTCTGGAGATGATTCTTTGTTGCATTGCGGGTACGTTCTCCTCGCGCATCCTCCGCGGAATTGTCGCAATGGAGGCTGCTACTGTGGTAAGTCACGTTGATATGCAGTTATGCATCTATCAATTGTGCTCCCCCTTATTAATTTAACACCATTCGGTATCTATATAAGACAAAACCAGTAAAATGAACACCAGATGGTCCCATGTAGATGCCAATGGTATAAATTTAATAATGCAGTTTTTGCAGAGTACCAGGGGCGAGCTCGCGTCAACTCGGATACGCATCCATCAAAGACCGAAGTATTGGGATCTTCCAGGTATGATATGGGTATCAAAACAAAAATCCACTCCATTCCAAACGGTCAATCACAACTCCTTCACAGTCCTCCTGTCCATAGTCAAATCACAACTCTTATAAAGGCGAACCTATGTTAACCCCTTGTTACTTGTGACTGGACTGATGATCGGACGAGTGATTAACGTGTGACCGGACCTGTGATGGACTCGACTACCACACTAGGAAAAACACTGATCTATTAATTATGTCTCCAATGATACACAGACTTACAGTGGTGATGGGGTAGCCAACCCAGGAATGCAGAACCCGGAAGCACAAGTCCAAATACAGTACCCAGCTCAGCCACCTCAGGGCCAGTACCCAGGCGCCCCAGACCAGGGGCAGTACCCAGGCCCACCGGCCCAGGGGCAGTACCCAGGCCCACCGGCCCAGGGGCAGTACCCAGGCCCACAGGCCCAGGGGCAGTACCCAGGTGCACCGGCCCAGGGGCAGTACCCAAGCGCCCCGGTCCAGTACCCAGCAACCGAAGAGCAGAAGTACTAAGCACCGTGTTATGCGCCCTGCTGGGCCCAATTTCATATATAGAGCTATAGCCGACAATATTGCTAGGTAAATTTATGTAGCTGAGTAAAAATCAACAAAGAACCAATCACAGGCTACTTTAATACTTTTTATGATATAGTTTTGCGGGTAACCTTTTTTGGCTAAGTATTTTTCTAAGCTCATAACAAGTTCCCGTGCTTAGCGAAAGTACATGAACTGAAATAAGCTGATATTGTTTTTCTAAAACGTTGTTATCATAATGATACTACATAATGATGTTTCTATTTTGCATTATAAATATCATGTTTTAACATCCCGTGCTAGCTGTTGATGTAGGCCTAGTCACTTTTAAATTCTACTTATAATTAAAGTCCTTTAAAATTTGACAAGGCACTTGAAAGTTCCTTATAGTCAATGCATGATGCGAAGCAATCGTTCCTTTCAATCTGATTGTATGTACACGTGACTGTGGTACCTGCATGTGTTTATGGTACCTGGATGTGTTTGTGGTACCTGGATGTTACTGTGGTTCCTGGATGTGTCTGTTTTTGTGGTGCCTGTTTTTTTTTGTTTTTGGTGGTACATGGATGTTTCCCTGGTATATGAATATTGTTTTGTTAGAACTGTTATTGTACAAAGCCAGTCAGCCCGCGGGTGCAAAAAAAGTCGCTTTTTAAGGCACAAACCGTGTGAGCTGGACACACACAAAAACTGTTAGCTGGAAGTATGAACTGAAATTACCAGGCTGATCTTTTTCGAAAATGTTTATTACGATTTTTGAATTTGTTTTACCTTTAGCGCTTACAATAGTTCATATCCATGTTTTTCTTTTATGATATTTTATTAATCTCAGACGCCATTTTTGCTAAATTAGTCTATATGTACTGTAACGAACGCTCTAGAAGCTGTATGATTGTGCAATTTAGTGAGGTGCAGCTCCGGAAATGAGCCCCGGGAATAGGCTCTATAAATAGACTGCTCGGGGTTCTTTGGTTTAGTTCCGCGGGAAGGGTTTTGCCAGACGCCAAGACGGGTTAAATGTAATACATTGTATAAAAGTTGTTGACTCTGTTGTTAGTTGTGTAGCCAGGGGCAGACAGAAGACAGACTGTTTGAGTTCAGTGAAAGAGCATCGAGAAAAGATGCTGATGCTGAAGCTTCTGCTTAGGCCTACATGGTTTCATATTGCACAATATTTTTGTTTGCGTTTCCCCACGATGGAACGAAAAAGGTCCAGGCATAGGCGTGCGTTACAGTATATTAATTTTAAGATTACATTATTCCAAATAGACAAAACGAGCTGTTGAAATAAATATATATAAATATACGGAAATTAAGGAACTTATAACACTTTTGCTTTGTTTCGTAGTCTCTCGATGTTGTTTTTCTTATTTTGTACAGTACGTTATGGTACAACTTTAATCGAACATCATTTTACTTCTTTAAAGTTTGTAACATTTTGAGGAATTACTTGAATCGATAATTAGTTCTTTACCTGTAGTTGCTTTATCATTAGAGCCTTATTTGTTAGCAGGTTGTATTTCTTTCATCCACAAATCTTTTGAAGTATTCAAATCAAGGCAAACTAATGTGAAAAAATTGCAATTCCAGGCCTGTTTTAATTCGCTCTCTCTCTCTTTATTTTGCCCCTCTTTTGCCCCTCTATTACTAAGGTTATTAATTTTATGGAACAATTATGTAAGAAGAATACAACCTTGTCACCATAGCAAAATACCGTTCCTTTGTCATGTGTGATGATTATTGAATGTTGTTGATAGTAACAAACTGAATGATGGGGATATGGATATTAAGAACGATGACAAATGACTCGGACTCGACCCTGCGGTCTCAAATTTGGACTCGGATTCGACCAGCGGGATTCGACCAGCATGATTCGGGACTCGACCGTTTGAAGACGATCGTCTCCTGAGTGACCGATAAAGTATGTGCGGTGCAGAAAAAAAACGTAGCTAGGTACGTGTATTTTGCATGCACAGCGCGTGCTTCTGGGAAACATGTACCCCAGCGTCCACACTTGACATTGCGTAAATTCAAGCTTGATAGTGCTTGACATCAGACTATCCCGCCTGGCCTTATTGGACGTATTATATAATACATGCGTTTCCAGATCATTAAATTAGAGAAAAGCTCTGAAAATGGAAACATTTACACTGTGAGGTTTCAGCAGTGCCTTAAATTTACTTCCACTATTATATTAAATGTGACTCCGGACTCGGACTCGGACTCGGAAGAGGTGACTCGGACTCGGAGTTTGGTGATTCGAATACGAGTGTTGAAAATTTGGCGCCGTGGACTAGTCGGTAACGATTCCGCCAATAAGCCACCTGACTATTATGAAACACTGCCAATTTAAAAGCACGGCCACAAACACACTCAAATACATACCGATGTTTTCATAGTGAACAGTACCCCCTGCACTTCAAATCCATGTTTCGAATAACGTATAAATGAGGTCTTTCTATAAATTTAGGGTGCAAAGTGCGACATTCATCTGTCCCTGTTTAATAACTTAACACGTCAGCAATTTGCCATTCAGGTATCCTTAAGAATGACTCTTGGAGGACAACCGCATTAACGAGTGTATCAGAATCCTAAAACCATACAGATGTCCATGATGTGACATATAGACAGAAAAAAAAGTGGACCCTAAATTAGAATGACTCAATTAGGAAAACAAATTTGGCGGTGATCAGTAAAGGCGTAGGCCTACTCGTGTTGCTTGAAAACTCGCATATCCCGGTTATTATTGTACAGAATACATTCCATTTTGACCTTTTGGTCTGTTGAAATGTTGCAGATCCTCTTTTAGGGGGAGAAAACAGGATTGTGACGAAAGGTGAAACACCTTTCGTTAACTTTTAAACACTCATACATGCGCACAATGATGATTTATAAACCTGACCTATTTTATAAACCTGACCTATTTTAATCATTAACCAAAATGTTATCGAAAGCTGCGCTCTGTATGTTCTGTGTATACAGATATATGTTAATGTACGTAGAATCCCGGATGCGGAAGCCTGTGCGTTTAATATTGGGTTGATCAACCGTTCTTAAATTGCTGGTTGGGCACTGCATTCGATTAGATAGCGGTTCAACCAGCATTTGGAAGTTGAAGTCTACCACTGGCTTTCCTCCACTAACAACTCCGGACACCACTGGTAAATACATATTTCATTCAGAGTTGATTCTTCGATACATATGTCCGGTTTTGCCTTCAGATAATTTGAGGCTTGTTCACTATAAACAATCGGAATACAAACTCAAACGCAAGCGCAGCCGTTGGTATAGTGGGCGTGACCATGGAGCTAAAAACAACGGAGGTTGAGGGCGTGTCATGCGACCAACCTAGTACGCGCTGGACCACGAAGGGATGTAGGACTGTCGTTTATACAAGACCAAATGACAAAGTGAAACACTTTAAAGTAGGATGTTTTTGAGGCTTACGTGAATAATCCACTACTGCAGTAGCCACGCAGGGTATTTCCTGCCTTTAAAGGTGTACACTGCTTTTATTAAAAACGTTACCTACCCATTTACTATCAACAAAGCTAATAACAGGATTAAAAATCGTAGGCCCTACTGCTACTAGCCTAAGCGCACTGTGAAATTGTTCCATCTAGCTTGCTGTCAATTTAAGAAAAGTAGGCCTAGGTGATTTGCAACGATCAGTCAATTGCAGTCAATTGAAGTCAATTGATTGATTTTTTTCGGAAATGAAACAGTAGACAAATTCGTGTTTTATGTATCAAAAGGTTGTATACGGATGCACACTGTTTTCTCAAAAAGTGTAATATTCAGCTTGAACTTGAACTGAGCTTGAACTTAAAAAAAGGTCAGTTTCACAGCTGATTCTGATTAAGCATAACTTTTCTTCATAATACGTTTTGCACTTTGATCACCTGATATATTTACGCACATTTTGAGTGTACCATTTCACATATAAATTAATAGTTTGATGCAACTATTCGCCTGGATATTAAGAGCATTATTTTGTGCATATACTCTTGTGTATTGCTGCACAGGTGCTGTTGTTTGGATGTACATGTATAATTTGTGAATATTGTGTATTGATGTATTGATGTAACCTGTGGTGTCCAGCTACATGTAGAGGTGTTCTTTGACTTAAGGGAATGTAGATTGTTGAATTGGTTGAGTTTAATATTTGTGAGAAAACCCCAGGAATTGTCATTCTATGTGATTTTGATTGAATCGTTGAATTGGATATTGACTTGAAGGTTTTGAATAGGAAAGTTTTAAGCAGCCAGTGATGTTTAGGTGAACACAGAACGGATTGTTAATAGTGTGGATTTATGGATTGAATTGTTAATAGTGTGGATTTATTATCCGGGTTGTTCATAGTGCAGATTTATTGATTGAACTGTTAATAGTGTGGATTTATTGCTAGGCACGTACATATATATACCGAATGCTGATACTGACCGTAGATATTTGATTGTAGATATTGAATTGGAAGTTGGAATCGGTCAGTTGAATTTGCTGTGAACAACGGAAAGTAGATTGCTAGATATTTTAAACAGTGAATTTACTTACCTGCTCTAATTCCATTGCATAAACTGAATTGATATTTTGAGGTGGTTTTATATGTACCTACAAGCTGACCATTAATACAATTTCATAACGAAGATTTCCCCGTGACATTTCTGAACGTACGATTTTGATGTTGTGTAAATTTGTCAAAAAAATTTGAAAGAGTAATTTGTAAATATCAAGGATATAGTTCATTTGTCTTATTGTGAGGGTCCCGGCAAATGTGACAGTCAGGCTTTGAACATTCTTCTCTGTATTGTGCGTGGCGTTATTACTGAACACGAACAGAATGCATGGAAAGCACTTGATCCTTACCTCTAAGCCCGCGGGTGTGTCTTTCCCTGGACTTTGGAATTGGTAGACAGACAACGGAAACGTATTCTATACACATTGCCTCAGCTTTTGGTTGCTGCCCACTTTAACTGTTTATATGTTTAGAGGAACAAAATAAAGACACTTTAAAATAGGTGGAAATGGAAAAGGTGTGCCAAATATCTCAGAAACAAGACAAGGTCAGCCCATTTGCCTTTGCAATTTGCCTTTCACTAAAGTATTAACGTTTATACTTTTTGGGTATAGGTAGTTTACTATTCATAATCACTCTTGAAGGTCGATT